TGACTTAAGTGAGGGGCAGGACAGCATGCTAGATTTTTCCTCGCTTGTTGCATGCTTAAAATTGAATATTTTGATATTGATATGCTTGATCGATTGGTTGCCCATTTTCTTAATTTGTTAAGTAATTTGATTGTTTTCCAATGAATTATCTAATTTCTCTTTGAATTGACGTTGAATGCATGATGGTTCGTTGGTTTAGCAAGTTAATTTCTCAAAAAAAATTATATTTCATGGTATATTGGTTGAATTGATGCATTCTCTTGATTCATTGAACCTATTTTGGTGAGACTTGAGCCTAATGAGCATGAATTCTTTGTTTCAATCTTGCTATTTGTTTCCTTGAGTGTGCCAAGCGTTGTTGTTGCATTCTAGAACTTGTTATTTGATTCTTTTTGAGACTACATGCATAATGAATTCGATGCTTTTGAATGATAGAGGCATTATGATTAACCATTTTCTCTACCCTAATCAAAAAGCCTACATTTTAATTTATCCCTTCATGAACCAAGTTTGAGATGAATTTCCATTTTCTTTAATTTTCACCTCATCGAACCTGAAGCCTTTTCTTTAATCTTTCTTTTTTTTTTCTTACCCTTGCCGAGACTTGAGACCATTTTTTGTTCCATGAAAAAAAGAGGATTCAGTTCGAAAAGAAACAGCAAAAAAGCATAAAAATAATTGATGGAAAATCATGTTCAATGAAAAAAATAGTTTCAAAAAGAAAAAATAGTGAACAATGCACTTTTTCGAACAACAGAAAAAAACAACCCTTTTGTTCGAATGAAAAAAGGAAAAATTTATTGTTTTAATTGTCTTTCATCTATTCTTTTTCCTTGTTTTAATTTTCATGTACTTCATGTTAGTTCGTGGATTGTTCTTAATTGTTTTGATCTCTTGCTTTGACAATTTTAAATTGATCTCTTGTTTTAATTTCCCTACCCAAACCTTAGCCACATTACAACCTGATTAAAGACCTCTTGACTCTTGCATTGAATTTTTTTTTAAGTGGTGGAGATTAGATCACATTACAAGCTTATGGTTATGCATTAACTTGCTTTGGCTTGAGTGTTTCTTGTCCTTAATTACTTTTAGAGAGCGAATGAATGAGTCCTTTGTGAGGTAATCAAGTTGTGCATCATGAGATTAGTAGCCATTGGAATGTCTTCTTTCGTTTATTTCCTAGCTTTGCAACTTGCTTGATTACTTTCTAAGTTTTAATTCTTTTCTTAATTATGGTTTATTGGGGCAATCAGATTATGATATGAGTTAAGGAATGACAACCTATGGATTTAGTATGTTGATTGAGAAATGCTTGAGGATAAGTATTAGATAAGTGAGGGAGAATTTGACTAGTGTTTATTTTGTGCTTAAATGCTCTTTGTTTATTCATGTTTATTATTGATTTGGATGTTTTTATGTGCTTTCTGTGCAGGGTAATGACTTCTGGAAAATGTGCTAAAAAGGCCCGAAAATTGCATTTTTTGTTTTGAAATCAAGGCTGGAATAGTGGGCATAGAATGCTGATGTGGTAGTGAGTCAGCAACTTTTACATGATCCAGTTAGTAGCATCCAATCAGCAGCTTCTAGAAGGTGGACGAACGACTGAGCATTTCAAGCAATTTAAAATTCAAGTTTTAGGATTTATCTTTTTTATTTTTAGGATTTAATTTAAATAATTGTTTTTTATATTTTCTTAGAATTATCTTTAGTATTTCAAGGGTTTAGAAGGCTATAAATACTCACATCGGGTTAGTTATTTTTCATATCTCGAATAATAAAACATTTCTTTCTTTTCTTTCTTTTTATAAAATTTCTTTCTTTGTTATTTTCTTTTAAGCTTTGTTTTTAAATGCTAAGTATGACTTTGGTCATGCTTAGCTAATTTTCTTTTAAGTCGAGGGCTAAATCGATGACCTCTAATGTGAGAATTGAAAAGCACCTAAGTAACTTCGGATATATTTCTCAATTTCTTTTGCACTTATTTCAAATCAAACAATTTTTCAAAACAAAAGATAGTTGATGGTCAAAATTTTGTTGCGATTAAACATGTGGGATGAAGAATTGACTAATTGATAACAAATAAACTTACTGGAAACACAACTAGCAAATTGTTGCTAAGCGAGAATTAAGATAGGAAATAGTTTGTATAGAAACAACTATCCAAGTCGATTTTTATGCGCTTAAGTGGTTCTTGATCTACAACAATTAATGTTGATTAGATTAATTTCCAAATTCGAGATCTAAGAGTTGCACTTGCGTATTCGGTATACAAGTTAGTCGCAAGGATTTGTCCTTGTAGACAAAGTAACCGACGTAAATCCCGAAGGGTAAATCTACTTTGATGATTCGAATAATTTAAGCCAGAGCGAATGCCTATGGTTGATTTAATCAATTGAGTTTTACCTTCTTTTATCTACCTTTCTTTTATTTCCTTTAAATCTTCTTTTTTTCCTTGATTTTATTCTTCAACTACAAAATCCCCCATTTTATTTATTTTACTTAAATTCATGCCCAATGTCAAAATTAAAAGCCAAGAATATCATCGGCTCCCTTAGTCTCTATGGGATCGACTCTTACTTCTCCTATACTATATTTAATTTTCTTTATTTTATTCAAGAATAAAGAATTTATTTTGATGTGCAAAACGACACCTGTCAACTCATTTTTTTCAGTGAATATCTTCACATTTCCTATTGTTAATATCAACCATATATTTTCACTCATCCAACGGTCCTAAATCGTGTAAACCTAAAATATTTTTACATTGCGTAACATGATCCTATTTCATATGTATGTGTGTGTGCACGCGCTATGCATATATCATGTAGAGTTTAGAGACTCGGTTCTAACTTGAAAATCAATCTACAAATTATTAAAATTATTAAGTTATTCAAGTCTTATTTATAACTTGACTTGAACATGAAATTTTTTAGTCGAGTTGAGTTTATGAAATTACGAGTCAAGTTGAGTAAAAAAAATTAATGTTTAAGTCGAATCGAGTTTTACTTACCTTTAGATTTCAAAGTTAAAAGGGACCAAAAAGTAATTTGACCAAACAAATTAAGGAACCAATGCTTAATTTCACTAGTTTTAAAACTAAGATGACCTAAAAAAATAATTTAATAAAAAAACAAATCAAAGTTTAATTTATCTTGTTTTAGAACTAGAAAAAAACTAAAAAACAATTGAACCTAAATATTAGAGGCGACTACCCTCCGCCCATGTTATGTGATATTATTTGTCTATAAAATAATTAATTTAATTCCATAATATTATATATGAAATCATACACAATACTGTTCAAAACCAAATGCAATTATATTATTTCACTCTATTTTATTTTCTTAATTTTTTTTTATAAATCTGGGATGAATATAAGGTGATATATGTTCAAAGACTCTCAAACCAATTATCAATAAACGCTCATATCTCTGCCAACCCGAGACCTTTAAGGAGAATAACAAATCCCTTAATCACTTGTATTTCCAAACCCTTCAATTAGATGAAATTGCATTCTTAAAAATGCTCTAATCTTGTCATTCAAGTTAATCCAAAAATATTAATACCAATTAAATTCAAATTCAATTGATTATTTTACTTCATTTTTATTTAATATTCATGTTTATTTTTTGCATTTGTTTCTAATTGACTGATTCAAATTTCTGTTACTAGAAAATTAATATTTTATAATGGATGAGATAAAAAATCACATAACCCAAAAGTAACTCCGACGTATCATTTGGTCAAAATTCCATCACTTCATATTCCATTGCTTGACCGGCATCTATATTTGTTTGACAATGGTGTGTTCTGTGTAAGTTGCCATGAATATTCAAGTCCTACCACCAACTGCAATAATGCAATTGCCAAGAAAATTCAACACAACAAACAAACTAGATTTTCCCTGTTGATGTAGATATTTTTACTAGGACCAAGTAACTCGCAAAATTACAAATATTTTAATGTTTACAGATCAATTCAGAATAAATGTTTTAGTTTAAAAATGATATAAAATATGTTAAAGTTTAATAATCAATTCAGAATGAAAGTTATAATTTAAGAACATCATGTGTTGTCTTCCTAATTTTAAGTTGATTAGTGATTTAAAAGTTTATATTTAAAGGAAAATTATTTAAATCAATCATGAACATGGTTAGAGATATAATTAAACTTGAGGCTACATGTTTTGATTTTTTTTATTTAATGGTATCTAAAATACTAATTAATGTGGTTCTTGAATTTATTTTACATCTAATAAGGTTTTTAAATTGAGAAAATAAATATGACAATTTAACTAACAAAAAGTAACGTTGACCATTACAATGATAAAGTTGCGATTTATGATGCCAGTCTACAATGTTAACATAATAATCCATTATGGATGATGACGTGATGATTCATGATACTAACATGATAATCTATAATGCTAAGAGGGGTGGTCCACAATGGATGATGATGTATCTAATTATTTTTTTTATAAAGTTTAAATACTTGTTTAATTTTTAAGAAAAGAATTAAAATTAAAAAGTTATTTAAATTTAAAATATAAAAATTATTAAAATATTAAATATAAAAGATACTAAATATAAAAAATAAATTATTAAAAATAAAAATACTAAAAATATTATTAAAACTTTTATAGTAAAAAGTCAATTTTCCGTAAAGAAAAGGTCATACTTTCATTTATGTATATGACTTGACTTATATCATTAGACTTTGAATTACAATCCCATTGTTGAGATTGAATTTAAGTATCAAAATGATGAAAAAATAATCAAAAACTAAATTCTTTGTTTTTTTTAAAAAATATATACATTTGTGCATGATTCAAAAGCTAACACCAACTCCCACGTCTTAATAACAATAATTTATCATCTACGACTGCTAAGCCAAATGTTGAAATCAAAGTCACGACAGAAACTTCCTCTGACCAAACTGCTTATGAAGAAAAAAAAAGAATATTAAAGAATAAGAAATTAGAGAAATTCTCCAATAAGTTAACACCCTCAATTCCTATAAATAATACCCCAAAAGCTTCTCAATTCATCACTTCAAATCTTATTTTTAACCTATTGCAAAAGATGGGTGGAAAGGGGTTCACTGTTGACATGAGCAAACCCATTGCACTCCAGGTGCTTCCACAATCTTCGATTTTCGATCATTTAATATCTTTCACGTCTGTTTTACGATTTATGTTGGGAGTTTGTGACTGACAGGTCGGTCACCTTGGAGATGCGTACCAGGAGTGGGCTTACCAACCTGTTCTCACCGAGGGAAGTCCTCGCTATTTCGAGAGCGATTTTTTGGAGGTATTATTCTTGAAAATCCGGTTTTGGGTTAGGTTTCGGGTCGATTTGGATCGGACACGAGAACATGCTCGCTTGTTTTGGCTTGGATGCAGATGAACACCCGGACCGTGTGGTGGGCAATCCCTGCGTTTTGGCTGCCGATTGCATTTTGGTGCATCACAATGTCATACAACATGGGGCATACACTTCCCCAAGTGGTCTACATGTCTTTTCTGGGATGTCTCGTGTGGTCATTCGCTGAGTACTGTTTTCACCGTTTCCTTTTCCACATGAATACAAAGAGTTATTTGTAAGTTCTTACTCTACTAAGCTTTTAAAGGTTTAATATTCAATTTAGCCCTTGAAAATTAATGATTTTTTAAAATTTGGTGCCTAAACTTTTTCTGGTCTACTTCGATACTTGAATTATCGTTTTATCCTAATTTATCCCAAAATGTTGACGACGTTTTCATAAAAGGAAAACTGCATGCCAACTAGGGGGAAAATCAGGATTTTGTCTTTGGAAAAGGGTGAAATTGAATTATAAATATTCATAGGAGTCAAAAATATATTTTTATAATTGTATTAGTTTATAACGTTACAATTTTATTATTTTGGGAGCCAAAATACAATTCTACCATGTATTAATTTATAAATTTATAGTATATAAAGGGATCTATAAGTAATTTTATCATTTTAGGGCCTAAAGCCCTTGGTTTCGTGATTGATGTCAACTAATAAAACGCTGAACTTGATAAATGATTTCATGACATATATAAGTAGACTTGTGACACGTTCTTATTGGTTGACATTGAGTTTTTTTTAATGTGGTCAACATTTTAGATAAACTAAGCCAAAAACGATAATTGAAGTACCAAAGTGAAAAATAATATAATTCAGGGACTAAATCATGAATAACCTTTTTTTAAAACATATTCACGTACAAATGCTTTTGTAGGTTCACAAAAAAAGTTACTTTTTGCATGGTAGAATAACGTAATAATTTTATTGGAAAACTTTGATGATGCAGGGCAAACACCTTTCACTTTCTCATGCATGGTTGCCACCACAAGTTCCCCATGGATGGCTCACGCCATGTTATTCCACCAACCGGAGTTTCTGTACTAGCCGCTTTGGTACGTATATACATGAGACATAATCATAAAATTACTCCGTATAAATAGTCATTGTATCCCCTTTTTTAACATCTTAGTCTTCAACATTTCAATTATTGGTCAAAATAGATTTTGTTAAATGAAAATCCATAGTTGATTAAGATTCAACTTATATTGTTGATGTGATATTTTTTCACATGTCAATTGTTGACGTGAAACATGTCATATCATCATTTTTTGGTGAAGTAACTTATATCCCATCATTTGGATGATGTAACATATATTACGTCAATAATTGGACACACGTAAAAATGTCACGTCAACAACATAGATTGATAATTAGTCCACTAAAATTTTTATCCACCAGAGTCAATTTAAACACAAATCGAAATGTTATGATCTACAATACTAAAAAATAAATAGTGGATAAATCTCTACACACGTTGAAAAATAATTTTAGCATTATACTTGTATTTTATTACTTCTGTATCAGATTCAGATTTATAATGCTAATTTTTTTCGTTAAAATATATTTTGATCAAGCTTTATCTTTATGAGATTTCAAGTTCGGACGTTTCGGATTAACATCAATACTCTTATTTTACCAGCTCTGGTTCATGTATGGATTGTGGTTCACTCAATCCACAAGACCAGCTTTGTATGGAGGTGGAGTGATTGGATATGTTATTTATGATTTGACCCATTACTACTTACACCATGGCCAGCCTACCAATCAATACCTTAAAGCCATTAAGGTAACCCACAACATTTTTCTTCTTTCTAGTTCATCACTTCTCAATCATTGTCAGTAAATTTTTTAGGTTAAATCACAATTTTAGTCCCTATGATTAAATTAAAAACTTAGTTCCTATAGTTTAATTTAGTATCATGATATTAGTTAATCTAGATAACTAATAATACTACCTATTCAGTTTAGATACTAACATTATTTTTTCTCTCAGTATAATGTTAAAAAATGTTCATAACATTTGATTAAATAGCTATTTTGGCTCATATTCTTTTTAGAGTAGTTTGACCCCTAATGTTTCATTATGAGATAAAAAGATCTTTTCGTAGATGAAAATCGCTAGTTAACAAATTGTTAACGGTCTAAAACAACACCTTTTGTCTCAAAATGAAACGTTGAGTCACAATGCTCCGAAAAGACTATTTAGATGAAAATGATTAATTAACAAAAGTGTATTTGCATGGTTTGATTGCAGAAGGCTCACATGAGTCATCACTTTAAGATTCAAGATAAGGGCTACGGTATAACTTCAGCATTATGGGACAGAGTCTTTGGTACCCTTCCAACCCCCAAGGCAACTAAGAAGGGCGAGTAGAAAATACCTTTAAATTTACGGATGTTTTACTTTGTTTCTTAACAAAACTTAAAGTATTTTCGTATAATTAAAGATGTTTTCAAATGAAAAAGGGTATTTTGTACTTGTGATGGGGAATGTGAGATTGGCTTAACATCTCACCTTTAAATAAACAGTGTATTGTTCCCTTGGCCTCTATACAAACTAGAGTTTATTACATTACATGCCCTAGCGTGTAGGTTCGAATTTTATATTGTATAATTTTATGAATGTGTGATTTTTTAATCTAAATTTTATTCTAATCAAGTCTTATCTTAAGTGAGTTATGTCCAACTATTTCGATTATCCATCCATTCATCTGTGATTTGTACTAGTTGGTTCTAATTATAATTCAATGAATACGTATTCATTATTCTTACAGCTTCAAAATAAAATTCGATACAAGGTTAAAAGTGATGTTTGTATTTTTGAAGTAAACTTATTTTGAAAAAAAATGGAATACATATATTTATTTTAATATTATTTGTGAAACTTTTATTAGGATAAATTATATTGTTGACCACTTAATTATTGCTAATTTGTAATAATATTGTCTCTAAAACTTAAACATGATTTTTTAAAGAAAATGTAATCAATCCAGTATCTCTATCATTTCGATTAAGAATATCATTTTTATGATTATATTTGGATAAATTAATTTTTTATGAATATATTTTTGTTTTGATCATTTAACTTTTAGATTTTTAATCTCATCACTAAACTTTTGAATTGCTATTGCTTTAGTCACTCAGTCATTATGACATTGTATCCTTTTAAAATTATGAAATGCCACAAAACTTGCTCTTATTTTTTTAAACACCACTAGAATCATCATTCATGAAATTTTAACCTAGTTTTTGGAATTCTTTTTAATTTTCTGACATTGAAGCATCTTCTTTCAAATCTCAAAATAGGAAGGCGGAGAGGGAGGACACAAGCAATATATCATGATTCCATGATGATCTAACGGTGGAGGTTGTAGATCAGAGTCATTTTCTATGTATTTTATGTTGAGTTTTGCAAGTTCTAAAAGATTTTGAAATTTTGAAAATAATAAAGTAGCGTGAGATGATGAGACGAGTTCGTCGGTATATGAAGTGGTTGGAGAAGATATCAAAGAAAAATTGGCGGCGACATGACATAGGGATAAGACCTAAGAGATTTTTTTTGTTAGGAAGAGGATTGAATGAAAATAAAAATAAAAATAAACAATATGTGACTTTCACGTTAGCAAAAAAATAACCCACGCCAATAGAAAACAGATCATAGCATCCTATTATTTTTTTATTTAACATTCGAGTGACCAAAACATGAAAAATTTAAAAGTTGGATGATGAAATTAAAAGAATTTAAAATTAAGTGATAAAAATAAGGGTTAACTACAAAGATGATCACTTATGTTTGTGTTTTGTCCACTTTTGATCATTGATTTCAAAAACATAACATATGATCACTTTCGTTTTTATTTAATTAAGATATGGTCACTTTCGTTTTTATTTAATTAAGATGTGGTCATCCCGAGTTAAATGCCGTTAACATCAGTAAAATATTTTAATATAATCACACATTTGATCCATGTTATTTACATATTCTCTCAATTTTGTCATATTTTTAAATCTATTATGTTAGTTTGTTAACTATAAGATTTATTCAACTGATGAATATGATAAAGTAAGTCTAATTATATTGTTTATCAACTATCATTTTATCACATTCTCTTATATCTTTGGCCACTCTAGACACTTATAAATTTGTTTTATTATAGTTTATCAATTTAATTTTGTCAAAATATTTATAAAATTCACAAAACTTAAACACTTATCTATTTCTTTCTTAGAGGGGCAAAAACTTTGGCGAATTTAATGGCTTTGGATGTGGTCAACCAAAAATTTAAATAGTAAGAAACATGCTTTCAATAAGAAAGATAATTTATTATGAAACTAACTTCATCAGACCATTATCAACAGAAATTTGAGCATTAGAAGAATAAAATTCTTACTTGATTTTCATTGATTTGAATGAATTTTGAGAAAAACAAAATTATTGATAAGAAAATAGGTATAAAAGGTAAACATTTTTATACCTAGGGGTGAGCAAAACTCGACTCGACTCCAAAAACCGATTTTTTTACTCGATTCGTAAAAACTCGACTCGAATTGAGTTTGAATTGTAATTTCATAAACTCGACTCGAAAAAATTTCAAATTCAAATCGAGTTGTAATACAACTCGAATAACTCAAAATTTTTAGTAATTAGTAGATTGGTTTTCAAGTTTATGTTGAAGTTTGAGTTAAGTCTCTCGACTTTATATGATATATGTAAATCACATATGAAAAAAAACAAAAAAATGTATATATGATGTATATGATTATAAAATATCATTTAAATTAGAATTAAATAATTTTATAATATTATAAATATTTATTATTAAATTTAAATAGAAACTCAAAAATTTGACTCGACTCGTATTTTATAAAACCGACTCGACTCAAAAAATTTCAAATGAAATTCGATTTATAAAATATGACTCGTCAACTCGAATATTTACTCGACTCAACTCGATCGAACGCTCACCCCTAGCTATACCATCTATGTCACATATGTTGGTCGATGATAATTGAAAGAATTTAAGATCTTTTTACAAAAGAAAAAAATCACATCATAAACGCGTTAAAATATTAACGGTTTGATGAATAAAATATGAATTAGAAAACTTTAGCTCTATAATTTTAATTTTTATAGCTCAATGATCAAAACAAAAATATGGTCAAACTTTAATATTAAAGAATGTATTTTACCCTTTAAAACAGAAATCACAAGATTAAGCATAATAAAAGGACTAAAATGAGAATTTGACCTTTAAGATTTATATCAAATTAGGACTAAATTGAATAATATGTAAATAATATGGACCATATGTGTGATTATATTAAAATATTTAATTGTTGTTAACGGCAGGTAACTCGAGGTGAGCATATCTTAATTAAATAAAAACAAAAGTGATCGTATCTTAATTAAATAAAAACAAAAGTGATCATATCTTATGTTTTTTGAAATCAGTGACCAAAAATGGACAAAACAAAATATAAGTGATCATATGTGTTTAACAACAATGAAAGCATCATTGTAAAATTTATCGAGAAAATGTTGTTATAGCTTTTAAGATATGGTCTCGATATTTGTAAATAATCGAACATTCTTTATCTTTCTAAAACGACTTGGTAATTTTAATTTAATTTATTTGGGTGCATTTGAATATTATAATGAAATTTTAATATTATATTATTTTGATTTGAGTAGGAATTAATTTTCTCAAGTACTGATAAATTATTCATTCTCGATATGAAATAATTTAATATTAGTACATTTCATTGTAAAATTCGCATTTTTTGGGATCAAAAATCAAATTAAGTTTGAATTTGTAAAGTTCATTGCAAAGACATTAATTAATCGACTAGGTACCGTTTTAGGGCGTTGTGGGGGTGCTAATCCTTCCTCGCACGTAACCGACTCCCGAACTCAGATTTTGGTAACGCAGACCTAAATTTGTTGTTTTAATTAAAATTAATTTTTATTTAAAATAACAAACATTTTTGGGTGTTCAATCACACCCTAATCAAATATTGGTGGCGACTCTTTGAACCGTATTTTTTCGACCATAAAGGAAATCCAAAATTTTTTAAAACGAGAGGTTTTTAAATCGCATTTGTTTTTAAATAAAAATCAATTGAAAGAGGTAAATTAAAAATTAATATGGTTTTCAAATTCTCACTTTCTCATTTTTAAAGAAAAAAATCGTTTCGACAGCTTGACGACTCTGTTGGGGACATTTTTTAGAGAGTCAAGCCGATAGTCGATTAGTTAATTATCTTTACAATTGAAGGTTATAAATTCGTTTTAATTTGGTTTTTGATCATTTGTTTGGTTTTTAATAAGTTTTGTTTATATTTTGATTTTTTTTAATTTAATTCGATTAACAATTAAATAGTTGTATTGATCTGTTTGTTAATGGTTTCAGATTAATTGTGTGTTTTGGGAATTGATTTTGAGTGCTTTTATTATGTGTTTTTTTTTTGCTTTTCTCACACACTGCACAACTGCATTTTCATGACATGAGCTAAAACTCCGCTCCGTCTTATTTAAGTAGGAGTGAGAGACTATGCCCTCGTGTGGTTTTCACCTCCGCATGGGATAGTGGATCGCTCCTGGAGCTCACACCTTATGGTCCCCGTGATGGTATTCACCTCCGCATGGACATAAGGAGGTGTGTTCCCTCAAAATTGAACTCGATCCCCTAAAGCCTGTGATGTGCCAGGATTGAGGGTTCGACAGCCCAAGGGGGCATCGACAAGGACAATTCGAGAACCTATTACTTTAGAACCGAACCCAACATATAGTGAACATAGAGCCTGAATTTAGGTTGAGCCTAACCCGAACCTTAAGAGTCTCGTGAGGAGGGTACACAAGAAAAAGTTTTTTGAGTTATTTGTTTTCGCTTTTCGAATAAATGCAAGCGAACTAGAAATCATGCGGTTAGGTTTATTTTTCTCGAACAAGCATACAAATTAGATATCATGCGGTTAGAATTTTTGTGAATAACAAAGTATGGGGTAGATATCATATTGGGTAGGATCTACTAAAGCATGATTGGGTAGCCAGTATGTAAGGGTAGGTTTTATTTAATGATTATGATATTTATTATTTTGTTGATGATATTATGTATACTAACCCATTTTTGTTATATGCTATTTTATTGCATTCGCATCTTCATGTCATCACAAGGTGTTAATTCGCAAGTGATTGACTAATAAGAAGGTTGGACATATTGAGACAAGAAATTCTCAACCATGTAGTCAAAACTGAGAGATCCAAAGATGTTCAAATGATCCATGAAGAAGGATATCCGATGAATAAAGAAATCTGAAGCTGATTGAAGACTTTCTTTAAAGGAGTGAAGGCCAAGATATTCCCTCAGAAGATAGATACAGTTATACCAAGGACAAGAAGACCCTTCACAAATATATGAAGACCACTTCGTATTGAAAGGAAAAATAGATACCTCAAGATTCAATTTAAGGACATCCGACGTCATCAAAGGTGATAAAATACGGCGACAACTTTGGGTGCAATATTAGATTCCATGAAGAG